CTGGCGTCTTCTTGGGGCGATTTGGGAGGCCTCTTGGCGTGTCCTGGGCCGCTGAGGAGCACACAAGGCGGGCATGCTGCAAATATACGTTTCCCATCGGAATTTGACGATTTGTGCCTCTTTGGCGTGCGCTCGGGGCCCTCTTGGGGCGTCTTTGCGGCCTCTTGGGTCGTCGTGGAGCCACCCCCAGAAGGCTTCGGGCCCTCGTGGGCCGTCTCGGGACCCACTGAGGCCGTCTTGGAGCGCTCTTGGACGGTCTGGGACTCCTCTGTAGCGCCTCTGGAACCAGCCTGAGCGATTCGGCCCCGTGGTGGCGCCGTTAAGAAGTGATTTTGTGTTTTCTGAAGCTTTTTGGGGCTCCTCTGGGGCGTTTTGGGACGTTTGGGCGCCTTTTTGGGCCGTCACGGGACTTCCAGGCGGCCTTCACAGGTCTTGGAGCTCTCTTGAGGCTGCCTCAGGCCGTCTTGGGAGCCTCTTGGGGCCCCCTCGGAGCTCTCTTGGAGCCGTCTTGGGGTCTGTGAGGCCGTTTCAGGGCTCTCTGGCGTCGTCTTGGGGCTCTTGTGGGCCGTCTTGGAGCCCTCTGAGGGGCCGCTGGCGTCTTCTTGGGGCGATTTGGGAGGCCTCTTGGCGTGTCCTGGGCCGCTGAGAAACACACAAGGCGGGCATGCTGCAAATATACGTTTTCCCATCGGAATTTGACGATTTGTGCCTCTTTGGCGTGCGCTCGGGGCCCTCTTGGGGCGTCTTTGCGGCCTCTTGGGTCGTCGTGGAGCCACCCCTCGGAAGGCTTCGGGCCCTCGTGGGCCGTCTCGGGACCCACTGAGGCCGTCTTGGAGCGCTCTTGGACGGTCTGGCAACCCCTCTGGAGCGCCTCTGGGACCGGCCTGAGCGATTCGGCCCCGTGGTGGCATAAAGGGGCGATTTTGTGCACACGAGGCCCTGTGAACCATTCTCGCACGCAGATCCACTGGCCATGTATGAGAGATGACGTTGGGCTCCAGCTTCGCCTCCCGCATCTCCCTCAGCAGCGCCAGCGCCCGCTGCCACTGCGCGCCCTTCTCGCACGCGCTGACCCCAGCGCTGTAGCTGATGACGTTGGGCTCCAGCTTCGCCTCCCGCATCTCCCTCAGCAGCGCCAGCGCCCGCTGCCACTGCGCGCCCTTCTCGCACGCGCTGATCCCAGCGTTGTAGCTGACTCGAGCTGACCCGTTGACTCCGTCCACGTCATATTACTGAAGAGGGCCTTGCATGTCCATCGCCTTTTGCAACATGCGGTCGTCGCCTGCGCGGTGGGCGGCGGGCGCGAGCCGTCCTCATCCTCCTCATCTTCGTCCTCATCCTCTTCGAAGGCTTCTTGGGCGCACCTTCTTCCAAGAATTCCTTTCCGGCCGCAAGAAGTCATACGGCCGGAACAAAAAACACACCAGAAGAAAGGTGCGCCCTGGCCGTACCCCTCTGTCGCAAGACCTTCGTCTCCCAGCCGTAAGGCCGACGACGTTGGGCGACTCTCGGGCTGCCTTCGGGCCGTCTTGGGCCGTATTGGTCCGCTCTTAGAACCTTCTTGGGCTCCTCATGGGCTGTCTTGGGGGCCTGTTCGGCCGTCCTGGGTCGGTCGGGAGCGGTCTTGCAGCCATGGAGGGGCCCTGTGTTCCTCGTGGGGTCGTGAATGGGCGAGGGGTCCATGGCAAGCGGGAAGACTCGCGCCGGTACGGAAACAGAAAGACTGCTTCAGGAACTTGCCCGAGATGGCTCATGGCGCTCCTCGCTCTTGGGAGCCTTGGTGTAAAGCGCTGCTTGCGTCACCGCTCGTTATTGGAAGCTGTGGCTTTCAGAGTTTTTGACGTTGCAGCTCGCTCTCAGGAGCCTCGGGTTGAAGAGCTTGTTGTGTCACCGTTCGCTCTTGGGAGTCTTGGATTGAAGAGCTTTTTACTGTACCGATCGCTCTTTTAGTTGGCGTCTGTGCGCCTTCTCAGTGGTCCTTGTGGGGGTCTGTTTGGGGCCCTTCAGGAGCCCTTTTGGGCCGTTCTGTTGCCGTTTTGGGACGTCTTGGGGCCCGTTCGGGCCGTCACGGGGCGTCTTGGAGGCCTTGGATCTTCTTGGGGCTCTCTGGAAGGCTTCCTGAGGCCCTCTTGGGAACCTCGTCGAGCCCTCTTGGAGCCCTCTTGGAGCCGTCTTGGGGCCCTTTCAAGCCGTTCGGGCGCCCCCTTGGGCTGTCTTTGGGCCCTCTTGGATTGTCTTGGGGCCCTCTTGGGGGCCGCTTGGGTCGTCTTGGGAGGTTGTGGAAGGCCTCTTGGCCTGTCCTGGACCGTGTAACAACGCAAATGGCGGATATGCTGAACATGTACGTTTTCCCAAAGGAATGTGATCATTTTTGCCTCTGTGGCGTCCTTCCTCTCGGAGCGTCTTTGGGGCCTCTTGGACCGTCGTGGAGCCACCTTCTGAGGTCTTTGGGGCGCCTTGGAGGTCATGGACCGTCGTGGGGCTCTCTGGAGAGCTTCCTGAAGCCCTCTTGGGAGCCTCTTCGCGCGATCTTAGAGCCCTCTTGGAGCCGTTTTGGGGCCCTCTTAGGCCGTTGAAGGGCCCCCTTGGGCCGTCTTTGGGCCCTCTTGGACCGTCTTGGGGCCCTCTTGGGGGCCGCTTGGGTCGTCTTCGAGGGTTTTGGGGGGGCCTCTTGGCCTGTCCTGGACCGTGTAGCAACACACAAAGCGGATATGCTGAACATGTACCTTTCCCCTTTGGAATGTGACGACTTTTGCCTCGGTGGCGTCCTCTCGGGGCTCTCTCGGAGCGTCTTTGGGGCCTCCTGGACCGTCTTGGAGCCACCTTCCGAGGCCTTTGGGGCCTCGAGGCCCGGCTCGGGAACAGCTGAAGCCGTCTTGGGGCGCTCTTGGTCCCTCGTGCAACCCCTCTGGGGCCCTCGTAGGCGATTCGGCCACGTGGTGGGGCCATAGAGGGGCAATTCTAGCCACTGGACCCCCTGCCCTTCTGGCACGCGCTTTTCTGCCCGCCATGTCGGAGAGACTACAGTCGAGGCGTTGACCTAAGGAACCCTAAATAAGGAGCGAGGCCCCTATTTTCCATAAGTTGAGCTTCGACTTCGTAACGAAAACCTAAGGAACATCCAAGGCAAGCTGCGAAACAATTAAGGAACACGGAGCCCCTCCCCAACGAAAAGGGTTACTTCTTCAGGGCCCCGACTGTAGGGCTGACCCGTAGATTCCGTCCACGACAACTTTCTGGACTGGTTCTCGGAAAAACGGCGGAGACTTTGCCGAAAACCTATAAGCACGGCGGCGGCCAGAGCGGCGGCAGCGAGACCGCGCCTTCGTGTCCGAGCTCTTGCGCCAGCAGCTTGGCACCGGCGCACGGCTTGTTCGCCCCCCTCCTATTGAGGGCAGTTTTGAAGTCTCTCGGGGCCGTGCGTCAAAGTTGAAGCCCATCTGAGGCGTCTCAGGAGCGCCCGGGGAAGGACTCGGGAGGCCCTCGGTGAACGCCTCCGGGAGCGCCGGGGAGGCTCGCAAGGGTCTCCAGGGAGTGCCCAAGAGAGCTTGAAGAGGGCGTGAACATTCGTAATATCTGAACACGAACCGCTGTTGGGTCGGGCGCGCTCCGCTACGTTGGGGAGGCCGTCTTGTTGGAGTTCTGTTGAAGGCGACACTCTCTCGGGCGTGTCAGGAGCGCTGGGCCCCCCTCTCTTGAAGGCAGTTTTGAAGCCTCCTTGGGCCTCTTGGGGGGTTGAGGGCCTCTTCTCCTCGTGTGCGCTCCTTCGGGACCTTTTGGGATCCTCTTGGGTCGTCTGGGCTCTTCTTGGGCCGCCTTGGGGCCGCGCTCAGAGCTCCGTACGTCATCTAGACCCTCAAGAAGCTCTCTTCTGGGCCTTCTCGGGTGTCCTCCTCCTCGTCCGGCTCCTCCGCCTCCGCATCCGCCTCCTCCTCCTCCTCCTCCTCCTCCTCCTCCTCCTCCTCCTCCTCCTCCTCCCCCTCCTCCCCCTCCTCCTCCTCCTCCTCCTCCTCTTCCTCCTCCTCCTCCGCCTTCTTGCCTCGATCCTGCATGCCTTGGATCTTGGATCGTCAATCGTAAAACTTCGGAGCATCGACATCGGCTGTTGGGGCCTGAGTTTTGCCTCTCACCTCTCGTCCGCCCCCAAAGGCGGATGGGAGGTGAGAGGCAAAACGCCTGTTTGGAAGGCGAGGGGGCGCCTTCCAAACAGGCGGCAAACAGCCACAACAAAGTGACCAGGCTGGCAGAGAAGTGGCCGCAACCAAGACATCGAAATCACGGGAGGGCTACGGCTGTCGAGCACGGTCGCCATCCTGCAGTCGCGGGCCGCGAAGCATCTCCGAGACGCACGTACGCCCTGGTCTCAAGAATGCAACATGAGGGCCGTAGGTGGGGTGGTGTCGATTACATCCGGGTCGATTGGGGCCTCTTGAGGCCTGGTTTGTATGTCTTGGTGACCTCATGGCGCTTCTGAGGGGGCTCTTAGGGGCCTGCTGGTGGTCTCGGGGGTCATCTCAGGGCGCGAAATGTCGGCTCGAATTCCCCCTCTCGGGGGGCCTCTTGGGGCCCTCTTGGGCCGTCGTGGGTGCCTTTTGGGCCGTCCTGGGGCCGTCTCGGGGCTCTGACGGAGGCCTCTGGGGCTTTCTTGGGGGAATTCGGGGGGCCTCCAGGGCCAGCTGTAACGCTGCAAAGGTAAAACAACACGAGTAAGCTAAGCATGCACGTTGTCCTCAGACACGCAAGCGATTTGGGCCTTTCGGGGCTGTTCTGGGGAGGCCCTTGTGGATCTCCCTTGGGGCGTCTTGGGGGCCTCTTGGGCCATCTTGGGCGCCTCTTCGACCGTTTTTGGGCTCCGCTGGGCCGTATGGGGGACGTGGCCCGAGGCCCGTAGGGTTGTCGGAGCTGCTGCGCCTCCCGGGGCCTCTCGGAGCGCAGAACAAAGCGACTGATGCACAGCACCTTCTGGCACGCAGAGATTCCTGAATTGCAATACAGATGACCTCGGGCTCCAGCTTCGCCTCCCGCATCTCGCTCAGCAGCGACAGAGCCCGCTGCCACTGCTCGCCCTTCTCGCACGCGCTGATCCCAGCGCTGCAGCTGACTTGTGTACCCGCCCTGTGGGAAATCCCAAGGCAGGCAGGTCGAAGCGTGGGCCCCGAGCGCGAAGATGTCGCCGACGCGAGCGGAAGACCGAGAGGAAGAGCGGCACCAGAGAGGGGCTGACAGAGGATGGGGAAGAGAAGAGCGGACGGGAAGAAGAGCTTTCCGGGGCTGGGGTCTGGGGCTTTCTTGGGTGTGTCGTGGAGGTCTCCCCCGTCACCCCCCAACCTATGGGGGAGGGGAGGGGGGGGGGGCGAAGCGTGCTGGTGTGTGCAGGGAGGAGAGGAGGAAAAGGTGATGGGTAAAGAAGGCGAGCAGAAAGAGGGCAACGAAAACGGAGAGAAGAGTGTGAGAGCACCGGAGGAGGAGGAGGAGGAGGAGGAGGAGGAGAAGAAGGAGGAAGAGGAGGAGGATCATGACGAGGAGGAGGAGGAAGAGGAGGAGGAGGAGGAGGAAGTGGAGGAGGAGGAGGAGGAAGATGAGGTTGAGGCAGAGAAGAGAGGATAACAAGAAAAAGGGCTTTGGGGCGTGTTTGGGATTCGAGGTTTTCTGTGGCGCTTCGGGTGATCTGGAAACGGCAAAAGGTGCCTGGGCTGGAAGCTCTCGTGGGAACTTCCAAGCAACTGTCAGAATCTCTTGGGGGGCTGCGGGGCATCTAAGAGTTGTCTTGGGCCTTTGCGGGGTCTTGAACTTTCTTTGGGGGCTTCCGAGAATTCAGAAAACGGCGAAATATGCTGGAGCTGGAAGCTCTCTGGGGAGCTCCTTAGCAACTGTTGGAATCTGTTGGAAGGCCGGAGAACATCTCGGAGCGGTCCTTTGCGGAGAGATCTTATGGGGCACTCTTGAGCCGTCCGATAATCCAGAAACTGCGAAACGTGCTGAGGCTGAAGGCTCTCTTGGGAGCTCCTTGGCAACTGCAGAAGCATGTTGCGAGGCTCTAGAGCACCTCGGAGTAGTCCTTCTTGAACACCTCTTGGAGCACTCTTGGGCCATTTTGGCGCCCACTTGGGCTATTTTGGTGCTTTCTTGGGGCGTTGGGACGTCTCGGGGGCCTCTTGAGCCACCTTGGGGCCATGGTGGAGGTGCCCTCTTGGGCAGCTCCTGGGGCGTCTTGGGGGGCCACCTGAAGCTCTATGAGGGCGTCTGGGGCCTGTCTTGGGCCAGCTTGGGGCCCTCTTGACTCGTCTTGGTGCGCTCGTCGGGACCTCTCGGGCCATCTTGGTGCGATCGCACAAGTACCTGGAGCCGCGTGGGGCCCTTGTGGGCCCGTCGTCGGGAGAATGTGGGAACAACCTTGGGAAACATGCTTTGGTGCAGGCCCTCCTGGGCAGCTGCTGGGGCGTCTTGGGGGGCCACTTGAAGCTCAATTGAGCTCTCCAGAACCTGCTCCGGGCCGTCGTGGGCCGTCTTGGGGCCCTCGGTGGCCGGCTTGGTGGTCTCATGAGGCCTCTTGGGCCATCTTGGCGCGATCGTAGAAGTGCGCCGCGTGGGGCCGTTCTGGGCCCGTCATGGGGAGAGCAGTGAACACATATGAACACAATATGGCTTTGCTTGATTTTGTGGCCTCGTGGGGCTGGTATCGGGGTCCTTGTGGGCCCTCTTGGGCTGTCCTTGGGGCCTCGTGGGCTGTCTGTGAGCCTGGTTTGGGACCTCTTGGGCAGCTCGGGCATCTTTGGGGGGCACTTGAGGCTCTGTTAGGCTCTCTGGGGCCAATTCTGGGCCATCTTGGAATCGTTGGAAGGACCTGGGGCAGTGTGGGGTCGTTCTGGCCCGCCATGGTCAGAAAATCAAAACCCTTCGAAAATATTAGGTCCATCGTCGGCGTCCTCGTGGGTTGTTTCTGGAGCCTCCTGGCGAATCTTCGGGCCCTCTTTGGCTGTCCTGGCGCCCTCTGGAGCGTCGCAGAGCTGTCTTCGGGCAGTTTGAGGCCGTGTAGGCACTTTGTGGCGACCCTCTGAGCCTGTCTGGGAACGTCCTGGGGGCGCTCCCGGCGCATGGGGGCGCTCCGGAACGGTCTTTACGGACCGCACTTTTCGCACGCGCCGCGACTGGAATTGTAGTACAGATGACGTCGGGCTCCAGCTTCGCCTCCCGCATCTCGCTCAGCAGCGACAGAGCCCGCTGCCACTGCTCGCCCTTCTCGCACGCGCTGATCCCAGCGCTGTAGCAGACTGGTGTGATAACGTGGATTACATCTATGGTGTGCTGAACCTGGGACCCGCACACCGTGGGTGAACAGTTCGTCGAAGTTGAACAGCTCGGATGTCTCTGGGTCCCTATCATTGGCATGATGGGTCTTCCTGCGAGCCTGTCTAGGGCGTCTCGGAAGCCTCTGGGGCCGTTTCGGGGCTGTCCCCCAAAGCCTCTTTGGGGGACAGGCCGGAAAACTTAGTGTAGAAATGCCTTGGGGCCTTCCCGGGGCGTCCTTGAGGCTCTAAAGAGCTCTGTGGGGACTCTCTTCGGCCCTCTTGGAGAGGAACTTGGGGCTCCGTCTTCCGGCGCTCTGAAGCCATCTGGGGGGCCTTTTGGGCCATCGAAGGCGTCTCCTGGGAG